GAGATGGAGTTTTGCTCTTGTTGCTCAGGCTGGAGTGCAATGGTGCAATCTCAGCTCACTGCAACCTCTGCCTCCTGGGTCCTAGCAATTCTCGTGCCTCAGCCTCCCAAATAGTTGGGATTACAAGCATGTGCCCCCACACCTGGCTAATTTTGTATTTTTAGTAGAGATGGGATTTCACCATGTTGGCCAGGCTGGTCTCTAACTCCTGGCATCATGTGAGCCGCCCGCCTTGGCCTCCCAAAGTGCTGAAATTACAGGTGTGAGCCACTGGGCCCAGTTTGATTACTGAAGTTCTAAGGAATCTTATGAGTCATTTAGTCTAACCTTTCATTTTACAGATGAGGAAACCAAGGCCGCGAGAGATTGATTTGCTTCTAGATCTGTGGGGTGTTTCTAAATTTGATGAAGCTCTTTGGTACCCAGATTTACCCTGATACATGATAGAATATTACAGCAGTTTCCAAACTTTTGGTCTTACGACCCCATTATACTTTTTTAGATTTTTATTATACTTTTTGTAGTATTATACTTTTGTAGATGTTTATTAGAATTTAAAACTGAGAAATTTTAAAAATATTCATTTAAAAACAATGATGGGCCGGGCGTGGTGGCTCACACCTATAATCCTAGCATTTTGGGAGGCTGAGGCAGGTGGATTGCCTGAGCTCAGAAGTTCAAGACCAGCCTAGGCAACACTGTGAAACCCTGTCTCTACCAAAATACAAAAAAATTAGCTGGACATGGGCCTGTAGTCCCAGCTACTTGGGAGGCTGAGGCAGGAGAATTGCTTGAACCCAGGAGGTGGAGGTTGCAGTGAGCTGATATTGCGCCACTACACTCCAGCCTGGGCAACAGAGCGAGACTCCATCTATAAATAAATAAATAACCCATTGCATGTTAACATAGGTAACATTTTTTATTGAGAAATTATTGTATTTTCCAAAACAAAAAATAATTTACAAAAGTAGAGTTGTTTGACATTTTTGCAAATCACTTTAATGTCTAGCATAGTAGAGGGCAACTGAATGCTCATATTTGCTTCTATAATTCAGTCTGTTGCCACATGTTTTGATTGAAGTATATGATGTAAATCTGACCTCACCAAATATGTAGTTGAAAAATGGAAGAATCGTCAGATAATTTTGGATATTCCTCTTTGATACTCCAGTGAATGACTCTTTAATCCATTCCTGATTTTGTAACATGCATTGTCATTTGGAAAATACTGGTTCAGTTAAGTTATGCAGATCTTCCAATTTTTTTTTTTTTTTTTTGAGACAGAGTCTTGCTTTGTCACCCAGGCTGGAGTGCAGTGGCAACGATCTCTGCCCACAGCCACCTCTGCCTTCCGGGTTTAAGAGATTTTCCTGCGTCAGCCTCCTGAGTAGAGTAGCTGGGATTAGAGGCGTGTACTGTATTTTTAGTAGAGATGGGGTTTCACCATGTTAGCCAGGCTGGTATGGACCTCCTGACCTCAAGTGATCTGTCACCTTGGCCTCCCAAAGTGCTGGGATTATGGGTGTGAACCACCGATCCCGGCTAGATCTTCCAAATGTTAACACGTTTTATTATACAATACTATAAAACACTTTTGTTGTTATCACTACCAATACAGAAAGCTCTTCTAAGTATTGGGAAATCGTTAGATATACAGTGGCAGATACATATTTTCCAAAATTTTAGTTTTTGCTTTAAAGCTCAAATTTTATCGTTGGCAACAAACATTGTCAGTTTTTCTTGAAGTGACAGACTCATTTATTTTTTCTAAAAAATGCCACATTCTAAAGTCTGAATAACCATACTCTGTCGATTGTTTTTGTTTTTTTTTCAGATAAAAGCAGTGTTTCATGATAATTGTGCAAGAATTTTTTTTTTTTTTTTTTTTGTTCCGTTTTTTTTTGAGGTGGAATTTTGCTTATTTTGCCCAGGCTGGAGTGCAATGGTGCAACCTTGGCTCACTGCAACCTCTGCCCCCTGAGTTCAAGTGATTCTCCTGCTTCAGCGTCCCCAATAACTGGGAATACAGGCGCATACCACCACACCCAGCTAATTTTGTATTTTTAGTAGAGATGGAGTTTTACCATGTTGGCCAAGCTGGTCTTGAACTCCTGACCTCTAATCCACCCACCTTGGCCTCCTAAAGTGCTGGGATTACAGGCATGAGCCACCATGCCTGGCCCTACAGTATTACTTTTGACTACTATAAGTATTTCATTTAAGTGGACTCATAGAGTATTTATCTATTTGTGCCTGGCTTTTTTCACTTAGCATAATGTCCTCAAGGTTAATCTATGTTGTAGTATGTCAGAATTTCCTTCCTTTTTAAGACTGAGTAATTTTCCATTGTATGTATATTCCATCTGTCAGTGGCCACTTGGGTTGTTGCCCATGTTTTAGTGATTGTGAATAATGCTGTGAACATGAGCATACAAGTACCTCTTTGAGACCCTGTTTTCAGTGTTTCTGGATATATGTTCAGAGTTTGAATTGGCTGGATCATATGGTAATTCTGTTTAAAGTTTTTTTTAGAGACAGGGTCTTGCTCTGTCACCCAGGCTGGAGTGCAGTGGTTCTGTCCTGGCTTTCTGCTACATCAGACTACAGGGTTCAAGCAATCCTCCCACCTCAGCAGCTAGGACTACAGGTGTGCACCACCATGCCTGGCTAATTTAAGAAAATATTTTATAGATACAGGGTCTCACCATGTTGCTCAGGCTGGTTTTGAACTCCTGGGCTTAGGCAGTCCTCTTGCCTCAGCCTCCCAAAATGCTGGGATTACAGGCGTGAGCCACTGTATCTGTCCTGTTTTAAATTTTTAATGAACTGCTGTACTGTTTTCCACAGTGTCTTGACCATTTTACAACCCTACCAGCAATGCCGAAGGGTTTCAATTTATCCACTTCCTCATAACACTTGTTATTTTCAGCAGGTTTTCTTTTTTTGTAGTAGCCATCTTAATGGGTGTAAGGTGGTGTCATTGTAATTTTAATTTGCATTTTCCTAGTGAATAGTGATCATCAAGGGCATTCTTAAGTGAGATTGAAGAAAGCTTTTGTCTTTTTTTAGCTGCAAGTGCATGGAAGTGAAGAGTACATGATTAGTTTAGCTTGGGGACACTGTCTTGATTTGAGCTGGAGCTGCAGCAGTTTTGGTCTCTGTTGCTTTTTTGCCTTCCTATCATTGCTTTTGCGTCAGTAGTACAGCTATCAATACAATTAAAAAAAAGACAATGAATGTTTTGGTATGATTATAAATGTAATTTTAACATTGCAGACTCCTGGGTTCCCAGACCACTCTGAGAATTGCTGGATTACTAGTGTATGTTCTGCTATGTTTTGTTGTTGTTTTTGTTTTGTTTGAGATGGAGTCTCACTCTGTCACCCAGATTGGAGTACAGTGGAACAATCTCGGCTCACTGCAACCTCTGCCTCCTGGGTTCAAGAGATTCTTCTGTCTCAGCCTCCCAAGTAGCTGGGATTACAGGCACCCGCTACCACACTTGGCATATTTTTGTATTTTTAGTAGAGATGGGCTTTTATCATGTTGGCTAGGCTGTTCTCAAACTCCTGACCTCAAGTGATCTGCTAGTCTCAGCCTATTGTTGTGTTTTTATACGTGATTCTTATCTGTTTTAGTACCTGGAACTGTTAAAAATTAATGTTATTTAACTAACAATTGGCTAGGGAAGATTGGCCAAAGTTTTGAAAACTGCTTCTTTACACCTTCCACAGGATTTGGCCATCAATATTCGATCTACTTAGCATGTTATAGAAGTGATTTCTGACTTACCTGCATATTAAAATCATCTGGAGTACTCTAAAACCACTGTATAGGTCCCAACTCTAGATTGCATTGGTTTGGAATGCAGCTTGGACTTTGGGATTTAGAAAGTTTCCCAGCTGACTAATATGCAGCCAAGATTGAGAGGGATTAATCCCTATAAAGCAGTGGTCCTCTTGTAGCTGTTTACTCAAGTGTTTTCTACATTATTTAAATAAAATAGGATTTTAAAAAATGGTTTCGACATTGTTACTGGAACAAAAGAAAATTAGATTATGGTAAAAAGTGGTTTAAAAACAACTTGAGATGTAGTAGTCAGTTCTGTGTAAAAGTTTGCTTGCGGAGATAAGACGAGTGATTTTAAAATGGGGTTGGTAATTCTGATTAGAATATCGTGGCCTGTGATGGGTCACTTATTCTCAAAAGTTTTATTTTTTTTTCCGAAAACACTTGATTTATAGTATTGTTTTGTATTTACACAAATACTATATATAATACTTATTAGTAATTGAGTAGAAATAAGTATTTCTTTGAAAATGCATTTTAAAGTAATACAAGCACATTTTTTCAGGTGCTAATGTCTTTTTTCTTAGAATTAAAAGTTAAATATAAATATGACATTCAAAGATTTTTCTCTTTTTTTAGAATTAAAGTTGGGAGAACTACTTCATGATAAGCTGTAAGTATTTATGCATCCTTTGAAAATAGTGTAGTGTAATATTTCAATCTGTTTTTTTCTCATGTGAAGTGTAATATTCCTTGAAGTTTGAGTAAATTTACATTTCAAAATTGTAAAAACAAAACTAATTATAGATATATTTTTAACTGTTACGACCTATTTTGGGGCAGCTGACCCTAGCTGTGATGTGAAATAGTTGAAACTAGGGAAACTGACTTATGGGCCTTTCCTTGAGAGCAGATGTACTTACTGAATATGGAATTTCTTGAAGAAAAGGTATCAGTTGTATATTATATGTGATAGGTTGGTTGGTAACCGGAAATTGGGTGACTGAGTCCCTAGATAAAAGTAAATGAGAATCCTTGTGTCTTACTCAGTTTAGTGTTGTTGAAACAGAATACCTGAGACTGGGTAATTTATAAAGAGGTTTATTTGGCACACAATTCTGGTGACTGGAAGGTTCAACATTGGTCACCTGCGTCTATTGAGAGCTTTAGGCTGCTTCAACTCATGGTGGAAAGCAGAAGGGGAGCAGCAGGGAATGGCATGTGGTGCAAAAAGATCACATGGTGGGGGAGGATGCAAGAGAGAGAAACCGAGGAAGTCAGACTCTTTATAACAACCCACTCTCTTGGGTAGTATCATTGACCCTTGAACAACTTGGGGGTGGGGGTGCTGACCCTCCCCCTCACAGTCAAAAATTCATGTATAACCTTTGACTCCCCCAAAAACTTAACTACTGGTAGCCTACTGTTGACTGGAAGTCTTACTAATAACATAAACAGCTGATTAACACATATTTTGTATGTCATGTGTGCCATATACCTTTATTCTTACAGTAAAGTAGGTAAAAGAAAATGTTATGAAGAAAATCATAAGGAAGAGGAAATATACTTACTCTTCATTAAGTGGATCATCATAAAGGTCTTCATCTTTGTCACATTCATGTTGAGTAGGCTGAGGAAGGAAGAGGAAGTTAGTCTTGTAGTCTCTGGTGGCACAGGTGCGAGAAAACCTTTGTCTAAATGGACTCATGCAAACTTCAAACACGTGTTTAAAGAGTCAACTGTAATTTGTTCCAGGGAGAGCAAGAACTCACCTCCCTGGGAGGGGATTAATCTGTTCAGGGGGATTCTTCCCCATGCCCCAGATACTTTCCACCAGATCCCACTTCCCAACACTACCACATTCAGGATCAAGTTTTAACATGAATTTTGGTGGACACAAACCGCATTCAAACCAAAGCACCCTGGAAAAACAAACAGAAATACTTGTTCATGTTTATATGCCCATATGTAGTTCCAGTTCCTATACTGCCATGGCCAGGCTCAAGTTTTAAGGTTAGGAATATGAAACATTGAATTAGTAAGTAGACAAGATTCAACATTGCAGTTGGGGTGAATGGCAGGTAGAATCTGAAATCCAGTTCTTCTCAAATTTTAGTGTGTGTCAGAATCATATGGAGGGCTTAATAAAGCATAGATTGCTGGACTACCACCCTGAGAATTCTTTATTAGGTCTAGTGTGAGACCACAGAAATCTTTTTCTTCCTCATGGTACATGTAAAATAATTTGAGTGGCAAGTACATGAAATAATTTTTATGTCAATGGACAGTTAATTGAAATAGAAGTGTTAGCAAGTTGGGCAGATTAAATACATAGAATAGTTATTAAAAGTAGTATAATTTTATATCACTGTGAAAATATGACTAAGCTTACTGGCTGAAAAACAATTTGTGGGCTCATTTTTTTTTATTTGCAGATTTGGTCTTTTTGAAGCCATGTCTGCTATTGAAATGATGGATCCCAAGATGGATGCTGGCATGATTGGAAACCAAGTTAATCGAAAAGTTCTCAATTTTGAACAAGCTATCAAGGTAGTCACCACTGTACTTTTTGTGTTTCCATTTATCTTTTGTTGTTGCATGTTAAAACATTGTGCTTAATAGTGAAATGAAAGTTGTATTAATTAAAGTATATTTTCTTGAAAGCATCTCAAATATATAAACAAGAATTAGTTATAAACTTTTAGTTATGTTTCTCTATTAGAATCTGAAAAATTGAGATCTTCATTAAAACCTTGCTCTAAATTTGTGCATTTGTGTACTTTTAAAATTAATTTTTGAAAGCATTTGGCTATTTATTCAAATATCAGGAAAATTGGCTTGGGAATTAAATTTTGTATATTAATATGTGAATACATAGAAGTAAATTTACACAAGGAGAATACTTGTAGTGAAATTAAAATTGCTTTAGAAATTCATTTATACTTGACATAGAGTTTGGTTTTACATATTTTATGAAGAAAGATTTGCTAAGCAAATGGATATTGTAGACAAAATTTACAAGAAATATATTTAACCAACTTAAGGTAAGTGTTTTAAATAATCTTTATTTAGTTTTCTAAGTAGTTATGGATCATTAAAATGATTTACATTAATGCTTAAAGTTGATTTGAACTGTGCTTTTAAAATACTTGTTGATATTTGGCTTTTCATTTTATGTGAAGGCCTTTATCGTTTTGATTTTTCTTATTGAAAACCTAAGATGTATTGTTTTTACAATTATTATTTGTCAATTAAAAATTTATAAGAAGATGTATAGTTTTTAAGAATACAGAGTTAATTTGGTATGATAGTTTTATCAGATGATAAGATAATTATTTTCTTAGAATTGTTTTTAAATATTGAAATCTAAAATGCTACTATACATAGTATATTATACATAAATTTAAAAAAATTTCTGCTTATATGTCACATTCTTCCTCCCTTTTAGGATGGCACTATTAAAATTAAAGATCTCACCTTGCCTGAACTGATAGGGATTATGGATACATGTTTTTGCTGTTTGGTAAGAATGGAAATAAGACTATTGGTTAATTTGAAAACTGTGATTTACCTGAATTCTGTGATTTAAAAGCCTATACACTAATGCTGAGTTTGAAATAAATGTAATATTGGGTCTAGTAAAGATGTGCATACGATTAGCAGGCTAGGTAATAGCATTTCATCTTGTCATCTACTTGATTTTACTTTCTAGTTTTCTGGGCGAAGGGACATTTTCTTGTCAGTGAAGATAATATTATAGCCATTGTTCATTACACTCTTTTCATTCTCAAGTTACTCAAGAAATAAGCCTGTAATTGGAAAGTTTCATAAATAAGCATGAAATTGAAACAGCTATACAGTGGCTTTGGAGAGTTCTTTGTTTTTTTTTTTTTAATCTAGGATAAATTGTAGTAAACTGGCCATCTTCTGTGAAGAAAATTTTTTAGTGATTTGGATATGCTGAATTATGTCTTCCCTAGAAAGTATTGTTTGTGGAGAAATTCTCATTTGTACTACTTTCCACTTCCCCCTGCTTTCTGACCATCCCTTTCTTTTTAAATTAACATTAAATCATTCTTCTTAGAAATGCGTAAAATTTATTCATTTGTTTATTCAACATTTATTGATTGCTAGTATGTGTAATTAGGTGTTTTATATGTATAGTTTTCACCTATGTTTTACATGAGCTTTATTAGATCTCTGTATTATCTTACTGCCTGTGGTTACATTGCTTGGGAGGGGCCTAGCCAGAATCCTAATCCTGATTCTTCATCTTCTGAAGCTGTCTCTCAAAGATTTCTGTATTACCTTTTAGCAGTTTACAGGCCTAGTGGGTGGAGTAAAGAAAGGAGGTAAAGGATTGCTGGGAACAGACATGTGAAGAAACAACATGTAAATGCTTTTATAATGGTGCTGTGGGAACAGAGAGGAGGAGTTAATTACATCTGAGAAGTAAGAAAGGCTGTGTAGAAAGGAAGTGATACTGGTATGAGGTACTGAAGAATGGTAGGTATATGACACGAAGATTCATGGTTTAGTAGACAAAGAGGCTTTATTGCATGGGCATGGCAATGTGAAAATGTTCATTTTGGAAAATCATAAATAGATGCTTAAGGCTGAAGTCTGGCAGGGAGCCAGGTAGGAGTGTGGGAATAGTGGAGAGTAGTGGAAAAGGCAGGAAGGGTAAACAGAGGTAAGATTTTTGCCAAAGTTGAGGAACTATTCTGTGAGAGTCTTGGGACTGTATTTAAAATTCTGGACTTTAAAAGGCAGATGGATTTTAGTTTGGAAAGTCTCTCTTCTGCACACTAGTTAATACCAAATACACACCTTAATCACAAAGTTTTTCACAAACATTTGTCATTTTGCAATGCAGTAGTACATGTCTCACTTTTTTGCAGAACTCTTGGGCTTTAGTGTAAAAATAACTATAAACTTGGGCAAATGATAACTCTTACTCTGTTTCTTTACATGTAGAAAGAGAAAAATACCACCTTTCTCAAAGTGCTAGGAAAAAATGAGATAAAATACATGAAAATAAACTAGCATAATATTCTGGACATAGTAGTTACCCAATTTTGCCTAATGTTGGTATTCCCAACCCTCTAGTACATGATGCCGGACATACAGTGGGCACTCAGTAAAATACTATAAAATCTTAGTGTTTGAGAAAGATCTCTGGTTGAGAGTATTAAAGATGGGAAGCAGAAAAACCTATCTAGTTTCTTGCAATAATCTAGGTGAGATATGGTGTTGGCTGGGTTGTGGTGGTAAGGATTATAAAGTTCAGTGAGTATCTAAGGACCTGATTAGTTCTAAAATAGTGAATTTTCCAGTTTGTGGTTTTTTATTGCCTACGTTATAGAATAAATTTCTTTGGATGCTACATAAAGAGACAATCTTAATTTCATTAATCTCTAACATATTATGCAAACTTATTTATATACGACAATGATTCCCATAGACACTTGAAACACGTTAATTAATGAAAGTAAATTCTAACTTGTCTTTTTTTAAGTCTTGTGATTAATCTTATTTGGGTCTATGGTGCTCTGGCCTTTGACTCTAGGATCAATTTAGACTTTGCAGACTCAGTTAATCACCTTAAATATGTACTCTTTTGTTTCTTTATAGATAACATGGTTAGAAGGCCATTCATTGGCACAGACAGTATTTACATGCCTTTACATTCATAATCCAGACTTTATAGAAGATCCTGCTATGAAGGCTTTTGCTCTGGGAATCTTGAAAATCTGTGACATTGCAAGGGAAAAAGTAAATAAAGCTGCTGTTTTTGAAGAGGTAAGATTTGGTAATCTGAGAATTCCTTGGCTAGGTGTGGTGGCTCATGCCTGTAATCCCAAGCACTTTGGGAGCCAAGGTGAGCAGATCACCTGAGGTTGGGAGTTTGAGACCAGCCTGGGCAACATGGTGAAACCCTGTCTCTACTAAAAATAAAAAATTAACCAGGTGTGGTGGCATGTGCCTGTAATCCCAGCTACTTGGGAGGCTGAGACACGAGAGTTGCTTGAACCTAGGAGGAGGTTGCAGTGAGCTGAGATTGAACCACTGCATTCCAGCCTGGGCAACAGAGCAACAAAGCAAAACTGTCTCAAAAAAAAAAAAAGAAAAGAATTCCTAAAGTTCATTGACTGCCTTATTCACTGTGAAGTATTTAAATGATTTTGTGGTGCGTACTTTTATCTACATGTATAGTTAAAAACAGTTTTAAAAAGTAATTCTCTTGCCATTGTAGATATATTGGGTAAAGTAATTCAGTCCTCTCCAAGAAGGGCTTTCATCTTAGCATATATTCTTTCTGTCAGTGTCATTCATTGAGTATCCGTATGTGCAGATGTGCAAGTACTGTTTTCGGATGTTGTGGGGATTCCCAGAGAAAAATGAGACAGCCCTTGACCTCAAGTCTCTTAAAAGTTATAACACAAAAAGAGAGCTAAGGAGAACAAAAGAATATTTTAGGGTATAGACATTTTCCTCTAGTTTGTTCTAAGTGCCTCACCTGAGAAAGTATTTTGAGTTTTAGACATAGAAAGATTTTTTTTCCCTTTAGCATAAAAAGTAAGTTTTCAGATGCTGATAATTTTAAGGGAATTGCATCTCAACCTAGGATTACAAAAAAAAAAAAAAATTGTAAGGGAAAATGTGTTAGCATTTGAAGTTATTGGTAACTAATTATTTTTGTTAAATTCTTCTGTTGAAACCGATGTTTCTTTTTAGTGCTGTTGCTGGTCCAGAATAAATTTCTTAGGATTCAACAATGGTTCTGTGTATAGTATGTAAAACTTTTTTCAATTTATACTGTGTATGTGAGAATAATAAAATATATACCCAATATGTTTGTCCATATTTGAAGGTATGGCTTTTTTTGGGGGTGGGGGATGGAGTTTTGTTTCTGTTGCCCTGGCTGGAATGCAACGGCACAATCTCAGCTCACTGCAACCTCCACCTCCTGGGTTCAAGCGATTCTCCTGCCTCATCCTCCCTAGTAGCTGGGATTACAGGCATGCACCACCATGCCCAGCTAATTTTGTGTTTTAGTAGAGACCCAGTTCCACTGTGTTGGTCAGGCTGGTTGCAAACTCCTGACCTCAGGTGATCCACCTGCCTTGGCCTCCCAAAGTTCTGGAATTATAGGCGTGAACCACTACGCCTTTCCATATGGTTTTGTGAGCTGTTTATGAAATAGCGTCTACTTTTTATACAGTCATTGGTTATTTACATGTTTGTATTGATAAGAGTATCATTATGGAAAATCTTATCCATTTGGATGTAATTTTAAAAAGATTAGTGTGAGTTAGAAGAGAAATACAGATTATTTTAAATACTTATATTTTCAAAGTACAACTAAAAGAACATCAAAATCAGTGGGGCAGAGAAAGGATTCTTTGGACAACAGTGCATTAATGATTGATTAGCACCTTTGAAAGTTACTTTATCATCATTTCATATCAAAATTTCAGATAGCTGAAATGCGTTAAGTATGAAAAAGTTATTTAAAAATCAGGAGAAGATAGTTCACAGAAAATAAAATGGCCTGTAAATGTAAGATGCTTAACCTCACTTTAATGCAAATTAAAACTGAAATATCATGATTTTACCCATTGTTGACAAAAATTAGAAATTTTTTTGTAAGGTTGATGAGGATGGGAAAACAGGTACTTAAATACTCTGTGTGTGTGTCTATGAATGATATGCATGGTTATTCTTTTCCACTTTTTAGTCTTTTTTCAGAACTTTTTATTGGGGAATAATTTCAGATTAACAGCAATTATGGTAACCAGCACAAAGAACATATAATTTGTATGCAGATTCAACTACTGTTAACATTCGGTCCCATTTGCTTTTTTCACTTATGCACATGCTTACGTGCATGCTCTCTCTCTCTCATGTATATATGTATGTATGTCTTTTCCTGGACTGTGTAAGTTGTGCCCATTACAGCTTTCTTCCCCGTGACACTTTAGTGTGCTTCTCTGAAGAAAAATGGCACTGTCCTACAGAACCAAGACACAATTATCAACTTCAACAAATCTGTAATAACAGTGCACTATTCAGATTCCATTTCTGTTAATTCCATTTCTGTTAATTCTTCTTAGTGTTTTTTCCCCTACAGCACAGGATCCAGTCTAGAATTATGTCCTGCATTTAATTGCATATCTCTGTAGTATTCTTTAAGCTACATCAGTATCTTAGCTTTTCTTTGTCTCCATTGACATTGATATTTTTGTGAACACAGGCTTGTCCTGCTTTTCATTTCTTAATAGGCTATGCCTCACTTGGGTTTATCTGTTTTTTCCTTATTATTATATTTAGATTGTGGAATCTTGGCTGGAATACAACATAAGCAATTTATGTTTTTCAGGTTGTCACATCTGGAGGTATACAGCCTGTCTGCCCTTCAATGGTGATATTATTTTGATCAGTCCATAAAGATTTTGTCTGATTACCGTATGGTTACTATTTTTTTTTTTTCCCCTTTGTATTTAAGCAGTCTTGGGATACACTTTAAGACCATAAAAATATCCTACTGACTAAAGTCTCTCCTCTTAGATCAAACATCTATTGATGGTGCTTGCCTGCACTAATGTTTACTGTGATGGTTGCAAAATTTGTATTTTTTTATTCTAGTACACCTTCCAGATTGATCAGTCAGCCCTTGACATTCTACTCTACAAGAGTTATACTTTTTTGATGGGAGTGTAAATTCTTACACCTTTAAAAAAGTGCAATGTGGTGATATCTGTCATAATCTAAAATGCACATCTTGACTCAGCAGTTTCAGCTCTAGCACTTTATCCTACAATTATATTTGTGTTTGTACACAGAGACCTAGTCAAGGACATTAATTATAGAATTGTTTGTAGTAACTAGTCTGGAAACTACCTTAGTGTCCATCAGTAGGAGACTAATTGAAAGATGTCACATTCATACAACCAAGTATTTTGCTGCTGGCCAGGTGTGGTGGCTCATGCCTATAATCCCAGCATTTTGGAAGGACAAGGTGGATAGATGGCTTGAGCCCAGGAGTTCGAGGCCAGCCTAGGCAACATCTTGAGACCCTGTCTTTACAAAACTTAGCCGGGTGTGGTGGTGTATACCTGTAGTCTTAGCTACTAGAGAGGCTGAGGTTGAAAGATCACCTGAGTCTGGGAAAGTCAAGGCTGCAGTGAGCTGTGATTGTGCCATGGCACTCTAGTTTGTGTGCAGAGTGAGACCCTGTCTCCAAAGAGAAAAGGATTTTACTGCCTTTAAAAAGGAGATCAATTTTTAAAAATTTGAAAAAAAAAAGGTTGATTTATGTGTAGAGATAAAGTTGGATTTCTAAAGTGAGGAAACTCAGGTATAGTAAAGCATGTATGTAGCTTGTTACCACTTTTTTCTTTTTTAAAAAGGGATATAGGGGCCGCGTGCGGTGGCTCATGCCTGTAATCCCAGCACTTTGGGAGGCCAAGGCCAGTGAATCTTGAGATCAGGAGTTCCAGACCAGGTCTTGAGGGCTGGGGTATACACTTATTTGCTCTTTTGGGATTTTTATGGTGTGTCTGCATTATTTTGTTCCTAAATAAACTAAAATAAGTTTTTTAATAACAGAAGAAATTATAATTGAATTTTATTTTTAGAAGGTTCCACTTTGTTACCCAGGCTGTAGCGAAGAGGCATTATTGTAGCTCACTGGTAGCCTTGAACTCCCATGCTCCAGCAATACATTGCCTCCGCCTTCCAAGTAGTTAAGACTACAGATTTGAACCACGTCACGTGGCTATTTTTTAAATTTTTTGTAAAGGCTGGATTTTGCTTTGTTGGCTAGGCTGGTGTTAAACTCTTGGGCTCAAGTGATGTTCCCACCTCAGCCTCCCAAAGTGCTGTCTGGAATTAGAGCCATGAGCCCTAGCACCTGGCTTGTAATTGAACATCTATTTGTATTCCGAATGAAGGACTTACTAGGAATGGGAGAAATCTTAAAGGAAGAGACTAACAGGACAAGAGTGATAGAAAAACTTTTAGGAAAAATAAAGATACAAAGATAATTAATCTTTATGAATTATGTTCAAATAAAGTATACACTCAGGCCCAAATTAGTAAATGGGCAATAAAATAAGTTGCTTATTTTATGAAGGAAGGTTATCAAATGGCTATAACATTTTTAAAATTTAGCTTCACTATAATCCAGGAAATATAAATAAAAGTGAGTAGTTTGATTTTTTCTTTCTTTTTTTTTTTAACCCCACCCACTTCTTGATCTCAGATTTCCCAGCTCCTAGAATTGGTTGATTTTCATCAATATAATTTCAAAAATGAAAATGTTCAATGTTGGCAGGGATGCAGTAAGTTGACACTTCAGTTTTTACTAGTGGAATACATTAGCATAGCTGTTTTGGCAAACAGTTTAATAATATGTATATCAAGAATCTTAAAAATACTGGTATCATTTAGACTAGTTATTTCACCTCTATAACTCAGCCTTAAATAATTAGGCCAGGCATTGAGCCTCACGCCTGTAATCCCAGCACTCTGGGAGGCCAAGACAGGCAAATCACCTGAGGTCAGTAGTTTAAGACCAGCCTAGCCAACATGGTGAAACCCTGTCTCTACTGAAAATACAAACATAGCTGGGCATAGTGGCACGTGCCTGTAGTCATACTTACTTGGGAGGCTGAGGTGAGAGAATTGCTTGAACCTGGGAGATGGAGGTTGGAGTGAGTTGAAATTACACCACTGCACTCCAGCCTGGGTGACAGCGAGACTTCATCTCAACAACAGTAACAAAAAAGGAAGTAATT